GCAAGCTGTAGCACATTAGACCCAGAAATAGGCCCCTGTACAGCTGTAGCATAGATGCCACAGAAGTTCCCCATGATTTCCCGCACATGAATTTCATTATATGCATAATAGATAGCAGTATCTTCTTCAAGTACGCACAATGCGGGCTCCACGAAGACTTCTGTCGATTATTATGCCCAGAAAACGATGCGTCCGTGCATATTTGACACTCTGCCCATTGATGTAAACAGGGTATGGCGTCATTGGTTTGCGTGTAAACGCCATCAACGCGCACTTCCCAGTTGATATCGTTAGGCCTTGTTTCTGTAGGTAGGCTGTTGTGAGGTTTGCTGCCCGCTGTATTCGTTCACGCACCTGAGGGCGAGCAACTGCAGCACTCCAGAGGCAAATATCATCGGCGTATATGGATAGGCACACCGACTTTGGCAGAACCTTCACCAGACCAAGTAGGGCAACATTGAACAATGTGGGGCTTAAAACACCTCCCTGACGAAAGCCTGCCATGCAAGAAGGGTATTTGGTGTATCGTTCCAAGTACCACTCGAGACGAAATAGAACCATTATTTCCATCACTTTTCCGAGGCAGCTTGCGAGAGAAATAGGGCGATACGCTTTCAAGTCCAATGGTGATTTTCCCGATTTCAAAAGTGGTATTAATTGACTTATTTTCCATTCTCGGGGAACACTGCCACTGAGCCAGGAGTTGTTGAAGCATGTTAAAAGTTCTTTTCTGGCTTTTTGTCCAAGGTGTCCCACGCACTATAGTAATACCGTCCGGACCCTGGCGATGACATGCGCTTAAAAGCGACTATGCACCTTCCTTCTTCCATGGTGAATGGAATATTCATTTCTGGTAATCGCGTCTCAGGAACAATCACGGCGTCGATGCTCTCGTTCATAATATTCCCGGCAACTCTCGTGCAAAATTCTTCAGCCACCTCGAGTTCTGTTTTTTAATTATGGAGTGCCAAAGCTTTAAAAGGGTGCCGTTGTTGTGGAGAGGAGCGAAGACCATGAACTGTTCTCCAGATATGACAGTGGTTTATGAGGGTCTAGAGATTCGCAGAATGCTTTCCAGCGTTCGCTCTCCAGCTTGTAAATGCGTCGTTGAATCTTTTTCCGGAGCCGTCTTGCTTCCCTCAGATCGTAAATTGATCTTGTGTGTCTGTATCGTCGTTCAGCACGCCTTCGTATAGCTCGTAATCTTTCCAGTTCGATGTCAAACTGTGTTATTTTAGACGAAAATGGTAATTTACATTTGGACGCTTGCATAGCTTCCGCTGTGGTATTTTCCAGGCTGCAGGCGAGGCCTTCTTGGCAAGCGTCCTCAACACACGATGTAAACATCGACCAGTCAGTGCCAATTACAACACCGGAAGAGAAATTTTTATGATGCCATCGATCGTCACGTAGGTGGGTATGTGATCACTCCCATGAGTCTCAATATCGCAAAACCATTTAACTTTGTGAGAGAAGCACCGTGACATCAGTGTCAGGTCAAGGCAACTGCCATACGTGAGACCCCGCAGATTGTTGGGGTACCATCGTTTATGATGGAAAGGTCGTAGTCGGAAGCGAATGTAACAATGTTCCGGCCCCTGGCATTCATCCTAGTGCTCCCCCAAAGCATGTGATGGGCGTTGAAGTCACCGGCGATGATCCAAGACCCATCGGTCCTCATTAGTATGTATTTTATTCTGTCGCAGTCAAATCGCGATGACGGAGATATATATCCACCAATAAGCGTGAACGAAACTGCATCTTCTTTACACGAAGACACACGTACTGATTGTCGTCATTTGAACTTATTGGGTGCGAAAGATAAGTCAAGTCCGTGCGAATGTAAACAATTACTTTGCTTCGTTCTTCGCAAGCGGCTGAACAAAAAGCTTCATAACCGGACAATCTATAAGGCGCTGATACGTTTGGTTCACATATGACAAGTATAGGGAATTGATTGGCCCGAACAAATTGGCGAAAGTCCGAGATACGGGACTTCATGCCTCTGGCATTCCACTGAAAAATCGACGCACTTTTAACTTCAGTGCGGAAGATGAGATTTTGTTGAGCCATTGTGCTTATACGACGTTAGCAAGAACTGGATTCAGTGAATCCTGTATTTGCAGTGTTCTTAGCAGACGGAGATTGTATGCTGCTGAGTAGCGTGCGAATCGTGGCAATTAATGATTGCACGATTGCAGTCGCTTGCTGCCTTGGTTGGAAAGATCTCGAACCGGGATCGCGGACTGGCCGTCATGAAACTCCTTCGGTTCGCTTGATGCTGCTTCCCTTTGAAGTGCAGGCCACTCTGTCGCAGTTAGGGTATGCTCACTGGCTTGTCCTTTACAGCCTTTCCCACAGCATGTGGTCTGGGAGGCAAAGGAGGTGGTACTGATGAGGGATCTGGAAAACGTGTCGAGGAGGTAGCGGGCGTCCTTGAAGACCGACGTCGACGTGAACGACGCCTTCTGACTTTAGCTGCGGCATCTCGATGAGATGAGTGATCGCGCACCATCTCCTTCAAGATGGCAATTTCCTTCTGAATCCGCGGGCAGTCCTTCGATGTGGCTTCATGGGATCCATTGCAATTAGAGCATTTCTTGACAGTTGCGACGCACTTATCCGCTTCATGGGGCTCGGCGCAGCGGTGGCATACCACCGAATTCTCGCAGACGCTGCTCACATGTCCAAGTTTCATGCATTTACGGCACTGGAGATGCTTTAGAATGAAAGGCCGCACAGCATGTCTGAAGTACCCACCTTCCTATGAGAGGGGAGGGATGTGCTCTTAAATACAATCTTCACACAGCGAGACTGGCCCAGCCGGGTGACATCAAAAATAGGAGTATCAGTTGTTGACTTGACAAGAAATTGTAAGTCATTATTGGAAATAGCCACATCTATGTCGTAGATCACGCCGGTTACTACATCACATCCCAAGAGAACATGAGAGCGCACCTGGTCGCCGTTCAAGTCAGTTACACTGCGCAGAACGCCCAACGCACTTACGTGCAAAACGTCAACAGCCAGTATAATCTTTCTGGCGTTCACTCTTATGTCCGTGATCAAATTTGGCACGAGCGTTCCCAGAGACCTCGACACAGACTGTCTGTTAAGGCGTTTCATGCTGACGGTAGGAAGTGCAGGCAGAAACAGGATGGTATAGGTGTTCTATTTTGGCGCTTCACTTACAGTTTGAATAGTTGAGGATGAGGATGTCCTCATGTTCCTCCTCTTCGCTTTGCGGCTCAGCACAGGTTGGAAACCGTCATCTGAAAAGTCCTCACTGCTGAGATAGTAAGCATGAGTATCTTCACTGTCGCTGTCACTCGCTTGTCCCATCCGCTTCCTGGAGGCGGCCGCCACTGATGCCGCTGGTGCCGGCAGGCGCCCGGGGTGGTCTACATCCATGCCCTCCAAGGGAGCAGCGAAAACTGATCAACAGACTTAAATTACCACTGAAATACGCCGGAATTAGCAGAAGTAGCTCCGAGAACCTTATCAAAACATGTGAGGTATTTTAACGGCGGAATTGTAGCTCATTTGCGAAATGTCATCTCCGTTGCTGCAGCCTACGTCACATGCACAGTTTGATTTGTACTAATGCCAGGACAGGCCTAGTTCAGCAAGAGGTTCTAGAGTTCAATGTGTAAATGCACGGTGTAAAACTACATAGCCACGATCGTTACGGTAAATGCACGCATATAACAAATGTGCCGGAGACGTTATCTATGCGAACCACAAGTGCGATCTCGGCGAAACTTTGATCCGCAATACGCTTGCAATAATGCTTACATGCTGTGGACAATGCTGTTACGTACCTGTAAAGTCCGCGGCTCAATTCGTACGCTCAAGCCGACGCCGCGAATGCCTACGGACTGACTCGGCAAGTTTCCCGATTGATGTTTTTTGTGGATTCGCACAGACGTGAAAACCCCGTGAAGCGCACCACAGCCCCAACATCTCTGCCGGACGCACTTGTGTCAAATGTGTCATCGCAGCCGCATAAATCATAAAAAGCACAGTCTAAGGCATTTTTTCGTTCGCTGCTACTTTAAGGAACCGTTACCCCACAAAAAGAAACACATGGTCGATCGTTGGCTCGATGACCGAGAGACACCTTTAGTTCACGCGAGTATAACGATATCGTTTTGACGTGCCTAAGACTTTTACAGCTATATCAACAATGGCAACCGTAAATAATGTTTCGCATATAGTAATGCAAAATGTTAACGTGCTTTTAGGTAAACGCGCTGATACGCCTCCACGGATTACTAACAAAAACGCAATTTCATGGCTTATTCTAACTCCCGAGAGAGCTAATTGTGTTTTTTTGCGGATAAGATGCTCCAAAACACAATCAATGAAGCGGCGTGGAAGGCAAGTTCTCGTGATTCACAGCTGCGGCTGATCTGCGACAGTTTTCTCGGTGCATGCCTCAATGGCATGTCACAAGGAAACGAACGTCTGTGCGCGTAACTTTGGTAGTTTCAAACTATCCAAGATTGTGTATCGCAGTTACAGTAGTGATGTACCCTGTACGACATAATTATTCTTTCTGCGAATCAGCGAAGGGCCCACACACGTCAGCAAGGCAACACGCGAACCCGCATGCAGTTGATCGTTTCTCACGTTTTGCATGTTTCATTTCGCATGTTTTGCTCAATTCGCATTTTTTGACGCCTAGACTTATCTACAATTCTGCCACGCAGAACGACATATGTTAAGGAGGTAAGGAGGCTCCTCTTTCTACTCGAATTTTTTGTCCCCCCCCCCCCCTCGGAAGGAGCAAGCAATGACACAGCTCTGTGGTATAAACACCTGCTTGCCTCGCGGAACGCCTGGGTAAAATTTCATTGGAATTAAACATTTTTATTGTTTATTTCATTTTCATATTTCTCACTTTTTGCTCTCAACCAGAGACGCCTGAAACTCTGCAAAGCGAGCTTTTTAATGTCTATCACGTTTATATATTGTTTTTTTGCATAGTTCACGACTACCGAAGGGCTTACCTAGGTTCTCGCTGGCACTCCAAACAAATTCTAGTCGGTGATCTTTCTTGCGTGCTCTGAAATCTTGGTAATCGAGTCGTCCAAAAAAGTACCCGTCCATTCCCATCTGTACGAAAAAAAGAAAAAAAAACAACAAAATTTATATCTCTTGACTCTCGGCAAGTCTATGTGAAAAAAAAAAGAATACCTAATAATACGCGATTGATGCTCAAAAAAATTGATTGAAAGAAAGAAAGCCGTTGGTCAGGTACATGATATAAAGAGATAATTGCCACCATGGTGGACTCGAAACTGTTCCGTGAAAGTTCTGTCTGTAACGTTGAATTTTTGTTGGGGAGAGTATGCGCTGTTTCCTTGAAGACTTTTCCCCAGTTGACAGCTAAAGTTCAACCGTATTTATTCTCATGGACAAACTGTGGAAGCTCAACAGAAAGGGTTACGTGAGCTGTCGTTAAAGTACAAAAATTACGCGCAGACCTCCGGAAAGACGACACTCCTGTGGGTTTAAATTAATAACGCTCTCCTCGTGTTCGCATGATTCTCAAGATTACTGTCTCACTGTACTTTGCTTTTTCCATCATTATGGCTGACCACCTTTCGCCTCGTCCACAAGCTAACAGATTAATTGAGAATACGGAACGTGTTCGCCCCATGCAAGCTATCTGAGAGCTCGAGCAGTCAAGGCTAATATCCGAACATTTGCATAGCACGCAAGTGACTGCTCCAGGCCCCAAAGGAGAAAATCGGATTGTATGCGGACACGTATATTGACTGTATAATTGAAGACGTTTGTGTAACGAAGCTATCATTTCTCAAAATTCATAAGATGTTTATATATATTGGTAACATGCGCTCATAATAACACTGCTGCTGTAGCACCCAAGACGAACAGGGCCCCATGACAAGGTTCATAACTTTCTTTTCTCGTAACCCAGGGGTGATGCCTTGTACCACGAAAATAGAAACAAATCAAATAAATTGAAATGTAGCTGTGCTGCAACGTTAAAAAGTGGACCTGTAATAACAGTGGATAGAAACAAACTCATGCCCACAATCTGTAAAATGACCCATACACCTATTAAGTTTCACGGCTGACTGCGTAAAGTCAGCGTGAATTTTGTCGATTTCGTACATAATTGCATCATAAATGTTTACAGCGTGGAAAAAACTCCCCACTTTTTTTTATCAGGCTGTCTTTTTTTTTATACACACACAGCATTGTGTTTTCTTACCTGCGCCAGAAGGGATGCGAATTCTCTGGAGTGGCCGAAAGGATCAATTTGCCATCCTATCCTCGGTACACCGCATTTGCCGAAGGTGTCGTTGAGCTTGCGCATACCATAGTCATTTGATCGATCACGTTGGTGTAGTGGACGCATGCTTCGTCGTCATCACCCAGCCACCGCTGATGAACTCCAAGCGACCTGCGTGATGCAGGCTTCATAACGCGGAACATATTCACAAACTCAAGACCATATTTTAGTCGCGTTTGTTCATCAAGTGTTTTCAGCAGTGCCGTTTCATGCCGGCGATGCCTATAGTTAAAGCCCGAAATCTGTCAATAGCCACGGGTCCCTTTGTCAAGCATTCTTTTTATAACCTTACTATCTCCAAATAAAAATATAGGTTGTTGTTGCTCATAGCGTGAACTTACTGCTCTATGAAAAACAACAACTGGCCAGCCCCTATAAGTAATTAACCTGCATTTCCCAGTCAAATTTGAGTAACGAGGTAGAATACGAACGTTACCAGACTGGACGAGCGCGTTGAAGCGCTTTTTCCTGTTTTCGCTGAGCGTCTTCCACAGAGGTTGAAGAAGCCTGTCTCGACGAAGATGAATCGCCGGCTTGGGTCATTCTCCAGCTCATTCAGCACGCTCTCGAAGATGTAGCGCACGCCCACGTTTGCGTAATAATTCTTAGCTGCACAAAAAAGATAAATAAAAAACATTAGGACCCTTAAAGAGAAGTGTGCCCCAAACGGAAGGCTCTGCCAAAGGTGCATCGAAAGTAAATTCAAAACCCGGGATGGCCACTTCCCATCGTCGACTCAGTTTTACGCGAGAAACCATCCACGACATCGAAACATGATTACAACTAGCTTCGAAAGATGCTTACGACCCGCTTGAGCCCGCTGTATCTTTCTCTGTTAAATGGGTACGACCCTTTTTTTCGGATGCGAGTTTACTCCTGTGAGCAAGTGTGACGCTCAGTGAATGCTGATAAAATATTTTATTTAGTATTAAAGCCAAATTTATCACGGCACACCTACCGACATCGACACTAACTTGACGTCTTGTCACAGTGGCAACGGTACTAATCCTGGTGACTTCATGCAACAGTCTGGCAAGCTGTGATGACGTCAAGCACCAAACACGAAAAAATTGGCAGTTTGCGCGTCGCCCTCTCGATCGTCTGTTCGCACCGTGCGGTCACTAACATCCAGCTTGTCTGTGAAGCGAGCTAGTGAAGTCTGCAATGATATACAGATATACGCTTCATCATCAGCCTGACTACGCCCACTGCAGGACAAAGCCATCCTCCCATCTTCCGCCAGTCAACTTGGTTCTCTGCTTGCTGCAGCCACTTTATACCCAAAACATCCTAATCTCATCTGCCCACCTAACGTTCTGTCCCCTCACCCGAAGTTCAGCTAGTTACCCTTAATACTCAGCAGTTATCCTGCCTACGCACCACGTGCCCGGCCATGTCCAATTCTTCGTGATTTACGCTTATCAGAGGGCAAATTAATAGTTTGATTTCGAATTTGTTATCATTGCACCAATATTTTGCCCAGTGAATTTTCTTGGCCAGTGAAACGGGGGCAATAGGTGCAAGTTCCACCGATTCCAGTCCGATCCAACGCTGAGACAAACGTGGGTTGACTTAATGCACCGCGGAGACTGGACGTCAACCAAGCGGCGTTTACTCTGTTCGCTGCACTTCATTCCGGACGCATACACGTGCAACATGCAATTCCTGACCGACTTCGGATTGTCGATGGATAACTTTTTCCATAAATGATGACATGCCACCGTTGTGCCCCGCTGTCGCGACAGCGGCCCCACGTACGGCGCGCAGCTGACGAAGCAGACGGTCGAAGAACCATGCGCGGACGACGATATGTAACGAAAACTTGCGCGTGCACATACTACGTACCGCCCGATGGCGCTGCTCATACCACGTCGTACCGGCTGAAGTGAGAAGAGATAGAAGAACAGCTAAGGGAAGAGAGGCCGATGGTATACGGTTTTTGTAGAAACACATCTCAGGGACATGGAACAACCTCGAACAATCCGGACTACACGTGGGAATATTGTAATAGAACAGAAGGCAGCAGAAAGGGGGGTGGATTGGGGCACTCATTCATAAAAGCACAGACTGGCAAAGGGCCAAGCAGGAGTGCAAGGAACATTTATGGCTAAAAGGGAAAGTGGCAGGTCAAATGACACTCCTTGGTTTCGTGTACTTGTGGACGGGAGCAAAAGGCCAGAAAGGAAAACCAGGCAATGGTAGAGTATACCAAAGGACATTCAGGAGTTAGGAAGAGAGTGCGAGATAATTATACTAGGAGACATGAATCCGCACATAGAAGATATAGAGGTATACCGACCGACAGGAAAAATGATCATGGATATGTGTGAGAGGCTTGATTTGATCATTTGCAACAGTACCGAGAAGTGTGAAGGGCAATAACATGGGGGTAGGAAGGCTGCAGTCGACAATAGATTATGCGCTGATGTCACATAGGATGTATGATAAGCTCAGCGGAATGCACATAGATTAAGGTGGCTCCAGAAGTCTGGGTAGTGATCAAACGTATCAAGCTAAGTTTTGGAAGAGCAGTGAAAGTGGGAAGGAGACAAGATTAGCAACAACAGGAAAATTTTTATCCAGAAAGGCAAATTGAAATAGCCACTACACAAATTGAGAAAGTAATCACGGAGGATATTAAGACAGTGTGGACATACACGAATCTAACTAGACTCTTTGAGCTAGAGCTTGCTAAGACGCGTGACAAGTCACCCCGGAGAAGAAGACACAACCCAAAAGTTGGTGGGATGAGGAAGTTAAGAGAGCCATAGCAAAACGTCAGGAAGCCTCTAGGAAACACAGACATGCTAAGCAGCAGGGTGAACCGACAGATGACGTTGAAAGAAAATGGGAAACCTTTTAAGCTGTAGAAGGATGCATCCCTTCTGATCAATGAAAAGATTAGAAGAAAGGGAGCTCAGTGGCTGGCAGAAGCACATAAAAAGATAGAAAGGCAGCTGCGAAATTTTGGAACCATCTAAACTCCCTAAGAAATGAGACGAGCCTAGAGCAGAGTTTTATAACTACAGCCCAAGGTGCTAGGCTAGAAGGGGACGAAGCTATTGATTATATAAGAACAAGGGTGACAGAAAAGTTTCAACAAAGAAGTACTTCATGCACCACAATAGACAAGGACGAGTCAAGTGGTGCAATGGCTCCATTTTCACAACGAGAGTGGGAAAGGGCTGAGAAAAGGGTTCCTAGTAGTACATCAACAGGCCCAGATGGCATTCCAATTATGCTCATAAAGACATTAGGTTCGAAGTCTAAGCAGGCTTTGAGAGAGGCACTGAGCAAAATAATGATCGATGGTGAAGTTCCCGATGGATGGAAACTTAGCAGGATGAGCATGACCTATAAAGGAAAGGGGGACAAAGCTGGCATAAACAACTACCGTCCTATAACAGTGAATCAGTGGTCTACAGGCTGGCGATGCTGATTATAAAGGAAAGACTGCAGGCATAGTAGAGGATGAGGGGGTGCTGGGGGAACTGCAGAATGGGTTTCGGAAACACGGGAGGTTGGAAGATTATCTGTTCTCACTGACGCAGTGCATGAAATAGCAGAAAAAGAACACAGGCCCCTGGGGCTAGCATTTCCGGATTTCGAGGGAGCGTACGATAGCGTGGTTCAAGAGTAATTGTGGGGAATACTGGACACACTATGCGTGGAATAGTAGTCACTAATTTTAAAGGGTATCCATAAAGGTAACAAGGTAGTTATAAAGTGGGAAAAACAGGTATCCAAGCCTGCAGAGGTAAAACGGGAGCTTAGGCAGGGGTGTCCCCTGTCACCCTTTATTCATGATGTACCTGCAAGGATTAGAGGCCAAATTAGAGGGAAGTGGGCTGGGCTTCAACCTCTCTTTAGTGAAACAAGGAAAATATTGATCAGGCACTACCAGTATTAATGTACGCAGATGATATAGTGCTAATGGGCCACAACAAGGAAGATTTGCAGAGATTGATGGACATCTGCGGTAATGAGGGAGATAGGTTCGATCTTAGATTCAGTAAGAAAAAATCAGCAGTCATGATTTTCAATGACAACGAAGGTAGTGAGCTTAGAATAAAGGAGGTCACGCTAGAGATAACAGATAAATACAAATATTGGGCGTATGGATAAGCAATGGGACCGAGTACCTGAGGGAACACGAAATATACGTGACGACTAAAGGTAACAGAATGCAGCAGTGATGAAAATAGGGAACTGTGGAATTACAATAGGTATGATGTTGTGAGAGGAATATGGAAAGGGGTCATGGTTCCTGGGCTGACCTTCGGCAATGCGGTCTTGTGCATGAGAGCAGAAGTTGAAGCAAGATTAGAAATTAAGCAACGTAGAATACGTAGGCTTGCTTTAGGAGCTCACGTAAGTACACCAAATCAGGGAGTACAAGGTGATATGGGATGGACATCATTTTAGGGCAGGGAAGCTAGCAGCAAGATAAAATTTGAGAAGCGATTGAGAAAAATTGGGGAGGAGCGCTGGGCTAGGAAGATATTCAGCTACTTGTACATGAAGAATGTCGATACAAAATGGAGGAAGCGAACCAGGAACTTGACTGGTAAATACTTAGAAAACAGCAGGTGGCCAAACCAAAAAGAACTATTGGTTAAGAAGAAAGTGAAGGAAACGGAGACTGACATGTGGAGAATGGCATGATTAAGAAGTCCGCACTAGAGATCTATCGAACTTTTAAGCAGGAAATTGCCAAGGAAAGGATCTATGATAATACTCGGGTAGTTCTCTACTGTTTGAGACCAGGACGGGATTACTGCGAACCAAGACATATCGGGCCAAATACGAAGGGGTAGACACTTTATGCAGTGCGTGTGGAGAGGAGAAGAAGAAACTGCCGAACACACGATAATGTTCTGTAAAGGGCTTCACCCTATAGTTCAGGATGATGGCGCAGAGTTTTTCAAAGCACTGGGGTTTAGGAACCGGCAGGGCAAAATAGACTTTAAGCGGGTAGACTTAACTAGAAGGAGGTTATTGATTGGTGGCTAAAGCCAACGCACGAGGAAAAATTAAACTCTTCACTGCAAAGTACGAATCCTCAAACTCACTTTTTAAAGAAAAATAAATAAATATAGTTTTGCGTTCATTAAGTATTATGGCTTGGTGGCGCTAGCGACCGCCCGATCTAACGGGTACAGCCATATGCATCCATCCATCCGTACCACGTCACGCAGTAACATTGGGGGGGGGGGTCACGTGGGCCCTTCTGGGTCCAGGCCCGGCCAGCTAGACTGCACCTAGGTGCTCGCTTCTTGCGGCCTTCGCAATGAGTATAGTACATGCGTCTCGCTACTCCTTTGAGGGGAGCGCTGTGACCCTGCCATCTTCCCCGCTCCATACAGCGAGCGAACGCATGAGTTCGCGCGCGCTTCTTCACTAACCGCGCCTTGAAAAACAAGTTGCCTAATTGTTGAAGGCACAGAAATGGTTTGTTTTGACTTCTTATTTGCTCTAGGTGCATCGAGCTCAAGTTTATTGAAAAATGTGTAAACTTATGAGCACGCAACGAGTAGACATTCTGAGGTCTGAAAATAAATTATTGTTCATCATCACAGGCAATAGTTGGAAACTTTCAAGTGAAAAAC